TTCTCAAGGAAAAAAGACAGCGTTATGCAGCCATCTACTCATTTCTAACTATGATCACTAAACCTGTGGCTGCATAGATTGTGACAACCTTGCCAACAGAACCACCTTCAGTTCACTAGGATGCGTGTAGGAGTACATAGACTAATTGGCAAGTATGGATTCTTCATTGTTTATAAGAGATTGGTTTTCAGAGTGTCTGACTTTCAAAAGAGGGGTGACAGTTGTCAGGACTTGTATCAACAGCCCTTCCATTGAAAAGTACATTTCCAAAATCAACAGACCTTGTAGTGTATGTAATTATCTTCATCTTAAGATTTTCTTTAAATAGCCCAGCCTTCTACAGAAATACAGCACGCATAGCTAGAAATGGTGAGTCTAATCACACTGAACTGAGATACTCAACCACTATCATGAAAGACATAACTTTGTCAAAATTAACTTTCTTAATGGGTGAATCCCATACTTCCTCCAAATTATTTTACTACTTATCATAACAACTTTTATATTTTAATATAGGGAGAGAGAAGAAAATTAATATGTAGGGAATACTGGTGGATGTCATGCACTAAATATTTTGCATATCTAATCTACTTTAATTCTCACATCTATTGTTAAAAAGGTAGACATTGTTACCATCATATTTCAGATAAAAAAAAAACTTGAGGCTTAGTAAGGTTAGGCAGTCTTGATTATGTCACAAAGCTACTAAATTGTGGCACTGGGATTTCAGAGCACGTCATTTGGACCCCAAAGCTCCTAACCTCAAATGCAAGCAAGACATTTAGAATCCAGAGATCCTAGAAGCATCACTGGCTTTCAAGATGCTGCTTCATTTAAGGTATTCACAGACTCCTTCAAAGCATCTGGAGTCACTTAGATAGTAATGTCTTGCTAAACCTCAGTTTATTCTCCTTATGAAGAAACCAAAGGCTCCAATCACTTTAGATAAAATTAATCCCACTATAAGAATACCTGAAGGTCTTTTAGATTTGGTGCAATGATAGCTTGTCTTATGCATATGGCTAGTGTTCCCCGAACTTGACATAGTTCATTTACTTCCTGGAGAAAAACCAATCAACTCTCCAATTACTAATAGAAAAAAATTAACTCTAATATTTTTTCCCATGAAGTATCTCACACTAGACCAAGAATCAAGAGTTCTGAGTTCAAATCCTACATCTCTCACCTACTAGGCTATATAGACCTGACAAGTACATGACTTATCTGAGCTTATTTTCTTACCATGGATAAAATAAAGATGTTAGGTAGATGACCATTAGGATCCCTTCAAGTTCTAACATTACATGTTTTTAAGAATCTCTTCTAAAAAAAAAAAAAGGAATCTTTTCTAAAGCCCTAGAAGCAGAGGTAACTTTGGATAAAAACTTTAAGACAATCTATGTGACAATGTGCAGACCAGAATCAGTCAATTGGATGGCCTTTCTTTAGTATCTAAGTTGTAGTAGTGGTGACAGTGGTGATAGAAATAATACTAGTGTAGCTACGATTTACTGAGCACTTACTATATACCAAGCACCGAACTAAGAATTTTTACATATATTGTCTTATATTTAATCCAACACAACAATATATGAAGTAGATACTATTATTTCTCCAATTTTATAAACGAAGGAACAAAGGAACAGAAAGATTATGTAGGTAACTTGACTGGGTCCATGCTAATAAGTAGTGAAGCCAAAACAGCTCTGCTGACACACCTTTGTCTCCTACTAGCCTGTGTGCTCTCTGAGGGCAAGGGCTTTGTTGTACTCAGTTAGCCTAGCACTGCCTCACACAAAGAGTAGGCATCCTCTGTGGAATAAAAGGAAGGAAAGAAATGAGAAAGGGAGGGAACAAAGAAAGGGAAAGAAGAAAGAAATTACCCTAGACCCGCTATGTTCTAAATAAATGTTGATTTTCTTACTTTATTTCTTTTTTCTTTTTTAAATTTTATTGCGGAACAGTGTGTTCTTCCAAGACCCATCAGCTCCAAGTCAAGTAGTTGTGGAGGGCACAGCTTCCTTAGTCCATGTGGGAATCGAACCGGCAACCTTGGTGTTATGAGCCTGTTCTCTAACCACCTGAGCTAACCAGCCACCCCCTTACTTTATTTCTTTAACCCTGAAATCACAAGGAAATCTGCAATTATGCCCAAGAATCCTGGGGCTTAGAAATTTCTCCCTCCTTGAGATTTCATACTGTCATTCCTGGTACAAGTCACTGAAGCAGCTGCTGTTATCTGGGTTAGTATTCTAGCTAATATATGTTCTTGGCTGATGTCTTAATTTCTAATGTTGATACTAACAAAGGAATATAGTTTCATCTACCATACTAAGGTTTCAGAAGAAACACAATAATGTCCTTGATATCGGTCTCTCACCCACTGATGTAAACTAGAGTGAAAAGCAAAACAAAACAAAACACTGTTCCCAGAGGAAAAGTACTTCCAAGCCTAGCAGCACCCATGAATATCATCAACTAGTGGTACCAAAATTTGAGAAGCCTAAACAAGGTGTTTTGATGTAATAGATATTGGCTCATTATGCAGCCTCCACCATTCTTATTATGACTGATTTAGGCCACACAAAATAGGACTTTAGAATGGCCTATCTAAAGCAGGTCTTAATTACCTTATTTTGACTCTATCTCTACTTGGCTTTATGCCTACTTATTTATAGTTAGAATTTTGTCAATAATAGAAACCATAATTATAAACATGTATACAGTAAACACAGGGCCCATTACTTGTATTTATCAAAACACATTTTAATATGTTACAGATTTTTAATATGATCTGATCTTACTTGACCTGGAGAAAGTCAACATACAATTTATTTTTGTGTTTTCAGTGAGCTAGAGATGGGGAAGTGTGGGGAAAACAGGGAGGGAGGGAGGAAGGGAGGGAGGGAAGGAGGGAGGGAGGGTAGAGAACAAGCAATTGCTCAGGAAATTTACAGCATTAATCATATTAACACAGAAGAGTAATTTATTCCTATGCTGCAAAGTATTTCCAAGGTGACAAGTTTCATTCGACTTAGTCATTGATGCTTCAGCGTTGTGTGTAAAATAAGGATAATATAAAGACTTTTCTCATAGTCAGTTAAAATGAATATAAAGCATATTGCAAATAGTGTGGTGTCAATTCTTAATTATAATGAGGATCAATTCTTACATATTCATTTCTCATTTTAAAGACAGAATTTATCAGTTGTCTCATCTGTGTCTAATCAACAGTATGAGAATTAAATGAAGTCCATATAGAACCATCCAAAATATATAATGAGTAACAAGTTTCTGGGACTCTAGCCCTCTATTTCTAATACAATCCCAGACATGTTTTATTTATATATGCATTCATTTAACATTTGTTGACAACCTACTATGTTCAAAGCATTGTGTGGAAAATCCTCTTCTTAGCATCTATGTTTCCTACTTTCAAAGAGGTTAAATTCATATTATGGTGATTTATTAAAAAAAAAGACTTAAATGGGTCAATAAATGGAAAAGGTACACCAGCTCTGGGATACTCCTTAGCATTTTTAATATGTTAATGAGAATAATGCCAGTCATTTGAATAAGTTTTCGATATCTGGAATTTGGGACTATCAAATAAATTATTTAAGTAAATATTTTTTATGGTGAGCTGCAGCTTTTTATATTGCATTTATATGACTTTTCCTAACTAGTACAAAATACAGTCTATAATAACATGTCTATATTAAAAATGTAGATGTCTGTTCAGAAAATATATAGAGCTATTAACTAAAAGTAACCACATCACTGACAGCAACACTTGGGAAAATACCAGGTGACTAGGCTTGATGAAAGAAAAGAATAATATTCCAGCCTTAAAAACTACATCTGGATTTTAGCCCCTTTCCTAAGATTACTATTTAATTTTCACTTTTTCCTCTCTCAGTTCCACCCAACTGCCACAGAAACCCATGCATAAAATCAAGAAATCATCTTACAATATACCCTTAAATTTTCTGAATATGTCCCATGTGTCCACTAATAGCCAAATGCTTTCAAATCTGTTCAGCTAAATGGATCAATAACTACATCCAGCCTCACATAGTGGGGTTGCCAACATGGTGAAATTGAGCCAAACACAAAATGTGTCTACCAGGACAAAAATTATTATCAACCCACTTATCTGGAGAGATCTACTCTCCCAGGTATTCTTTAGAGAAGTTAACATACACATTATCTAGGACAGTTAACTGAAAAATATTTGAGACTCAGAATGAAGGATTTGGAGAAAATATTTGGGAGCTAAAACCCGTGAGTTTTACAACAAACAAATGTACTAGTTCAAGGTCTACATCAAGTAAGAATCTTTCAGATTCTGAGTACACAAAATACGTAACAGCACAAGCAAACTGCTAACATGCTTCTCTGTGTGCTCACCCATATGACACAGCTGCAAACAACAATTGAGCAGGTGCAACCAAGCTTTTGAGAATTCCTGCCTGTTGCCCAAGAACCACAACACCGCATGGTTGAGATTTTAAACAGGTGCAAACATTTTTTTCCACTCCTGTAGTGCTTGAGAAGTGCAGCAGACAGTACATCTGCAACCACTCCTTACCTAAAGCAACCACCACAGAAAACAAACTCAAAAGCAGGAAAAAAACAAGTTTGAAAATAAAGCAAAAATGTCAAAAACAGTGGTTTTACAATAATTTGACCCCACATCAACAGTCATTTTAATAGTATAGTTCCATAAAACATTCTCTAGTGTTTCACCAGATGAATGCTTTGTAATTAAAATTATTCTGCCTCATCAAATCTCAGAAATGTTTATTTGATTCTTATAATAGAGTAAAAAGCAAGGTATGTAAAAAATGTACTATGCTTGGAAGCTGTCAATATTTATAAGTACTCAAAAATTAACATTTTCACATTATGAAATCTGTAAGCAATTTTAATACATAAAAATGTAATAACTTGTCAGTTAATACATAGATTTACATAACTATGGTAATTCATATACATACCTGTGCAGCTATGGGGCACAGACAGACTTGAAATTTATCAGGTACCTAAAATGCAAAACAAATATATAAGTAAAAGTTAATTTTCTAAGTAAAGCCAGTATTATGCTAAGACAATTTCTGCAGAGAAGTAGGAAAAGACAGCAATGCTTTAAGAGGTGAATTATTTTATCTCTCTATTTTCCCCAGAGGATATTTCAAATCACCTTAAATTCATATGTGTGAATATACACACACAGAGTCCTCTAATAGTGTTATCAAAACAAGGACCATCAAGGGACTAGGACTCACCATGGACTCTGAAACGAAAATGCTTTCACTAGAGAACGAGGCACACTTTGAAATGATTTTTTTTTTTTGGTATTCTTCCAAGACTATTGCCTTTCTAATACAAATATAACTGCTACTCTAAAATGAAACCACTCAGATTCATCTGCACTGAGTTTAGTATATTGGTAAGGAAGAAACTTACTTTTGCTTTTGTAGAACAGCCCACAAAAATGCATACATAAATAAAGTAAACTTTGAGTGTTCATTAAATTTAGTTTCAACAGCAAATAGAAATGAGATTGACTGCTACAAGAGGGAATGAATGCTAAAGCCACACCAGATATAATGCCTCACCGAAGCACTTGGAGAAAACTGCCAATGAAGTAGGTATCGGTACAGAAGACAACATAAGTCCAGTTAAACAAAAGTATGCAGAGTTTACAATTAGACCTGAACTATATTTGCGTGTAGGTGGGAACTGTATTGCAACATACAGCCTCCAAACTACTGGGACACTTGAAAATATTTCATAATTCTTTCTAAAAGCAAACTAAAGTGTTTAACTCATACACTTCTCAGCATAGTGGATGACAGTAACATATTAAAGTCAGTTGATCTATATAATACTTGTTTAAGAGTGTGTAGAGGTAATAATCAATTTTGATGATTGTTTAATAAAACACCATCTCCATAGACTTCTGATGAATTTGTGAACTGTTAAAAAATTTTCTGGAAAACTATTGGGTAATATGTATCAAGAACTTAAAGTTCAAAATCTGTACACATTAATTACTTCTAGGAATCCATCTTACATAACTGAAAACAAACAGAGGTTTATGTTAAAAAGATTATTTTTATGATAGAAAAAAACTAAAAGCAACCTAAATGTTCAACAGTAGAAAATAATTAAATAAAACATAGCACATCCATATAAAGGCATATTTTGTAACGATCCACAAGATACTTTGTGGTACTATAATGTTATATAAACCTGATGAAATTGCATGGAAGAGGAAAAAATACAAAGAATACACAAAAATATTGAGTGATTGTATCTGGATAATAAGTTTATGGATGATTTTAATTTTTTCTTTCTATTTTCATAGTTAACCTCTATAATACACTTTATTGTATAATAGGATAAATATTAGTTGGCAGCATAAGAGTAAAAAAGTTATAGAGTGCCATATGGAAATCATAAATCTAACCTTCTTAAGTGAAGTAAATTAATTCAGTTACACATAAAATCCACCAAGTATACCCTACAGTGACAAACTCATCCTCACTGCTTCCTCATATGGGTATAGCCAGGGTCTCTGTCATCCCACTGTTTTAGAACCTATACCAATAACTCAATAACACATTTTTAATCATTTTAGTAAAACTTCTTTAATTATGCAGAGTGAAACGATGGCAAGAACAATTTAGGACTGCAAATCTGTTCAACCTAGTACAGACTAATTTATTCACTAAGTAAACAATATTTAGTGAGTATCCATTACATGCAAAGTGTTGTGTTTGGCATTATGACATGCTAAATAAAGGATAAATGAGAACACATATCATACTCTCATAGAGCTAACAATTTAAGAGGGCTAAAAATTATATACATATACCTTCCTATTAATTTTACTGTGAACCCAAAACTGCTCTTTAAAAAGTCTTAGAAAACAAACAAAAAAAGCTAAAACACAAAACAAAAAAATGTACATACAGCTCACAGAAAGATTACAGTTTGAGGCATTTGTGACCGATCTGATATACTTTAAAGCATGAAAACACAGATCAGGTTTATTCTTTTATATTACAGAGTAGAAACTGATATTTAGGTTACAGTCAATAAAAAGCTGAGTACATGAGTGTGCATCACAGATAAAATTACCTAGGAAATTACATTAGGTATTTAACTTTTTTCCTTATGTGATCTACTTTTTGTTAATACACAGTTATATAATAAGAGACCAGATATGAGGGGATATTGATCCCATCTCAGATGCCAGATGTGTAAAACTGTCTTAGATTATCGCAGGCCACATAAAACATATGCACAATTATTAACAGGCTACAGTTATTTATTGTCAGCCAAAGTGAATAAGTGAGTCACTTACTAACCCTGCCAAAGACAATGTTCTAGCCCCACCACCAGGGAAAGAAAAGGCGGTTAGGAATGGATAGACAGAGGCTGGGGGCATGCCTAACAACCAAAGGTAGTGGTGGTGGTGGTAGCAGGGGGTTCCATTTTTGTTGTGCAGAGAAAATTATGCAGCACAGGGTTTTTCTCAACAGCAATTCGATTTCCGTGCAGCTTGTAACAATAATCGTCCTATGCCCCTCTGAAGCTAGTGCCACACGACGGTTCTGAGGTTCAGTCGGTGGGGTCAGCCTGTATGAAGCCGTGCCAAGCACTAGGAGAGGCTATTTATGTGATCAATGATCCGTAGATCTAGGTTTCACAGAGTTCTGGACAGCAGCATTTACAGAAGGTAGCATGGTAGCGAAGTGATTAGCTTTTGCTGTTGGACAAACCTGGGATCCAACTCCAGTTCCCTTTCTCTCGTCAACTGTGTGACCTTGAGCAAGTTACATTTTCCCCCTCTGTATAATGACAATCTTGTTATCTACCCTATAGGAGGACTGTTTGTGCATATTATATTACAGGCATGAAAAGGATCCAGCACGGCGCCTGCTACAAAACAAGCATTGCTAAATGGAAGTTATTAGTACTGTCTTAATTGGAGGAGAAAAAGAGGGGATGTCTGTCCCTTTATGTGCAGGGGCTAAACTATGCAAGGAATAAGGAGATAGAAAGATGACTTGCTCCAGAAAACACTCTGTATCCTACAACTCATCCAAGAGCCACTCATGTGGTGGATATTCACAGAAGCTCTCTGAATCAGGATACACTGTAACAATATAAATAGCCACCAGAAGCAACCCTAACCAGCTCCTTTAAGCTGCCATCTCTGTTACTGAAGAGGAAGGTAGTAGGATCTAAGTAGTAACACGTGCAACTTGTAACTAATACTGCCCATTTTCCTTAGTGAAAAATGAAGGCTCATTTTCCACACTTAACTGAAACAATCAAGATATGAAAAATAAAGACAAAATGAGTGTAATTATTCAACTTGTGTCAAGCCAAAGTGTTGTGGGCTCTTTAACCATCACTTGTGGGCAGTATCACCTATTTGTGTATTCTAAAGAGACCCTGCAAAATGACCTGAGCTCACATGTAATTCAAAATTTGCAAATATAAGTAAAAAACAGTATAGTCAGTTTTTTCTCTCAAGGCCTTGAACACATAAATGAATGCATGCTGCTGCTGTTCTAGTCCTTGTTTCTGTTTTGGTTTAGAGTTAGCACAGATCCAGAATTCTTTAAACGCTATCTTCGGAATTCCATGCAGTCAGATAATCTCTAGAATTGTTTGGGTCACATGAGGGCGACATTACTATCAGCACCATTCTGAATAGAGATACACTACAGGATTTTTTTAAAGTTCTTTTTACTTCTAGGTGAGCACAGCTGTGTTCTCCAGTGGGAACTGAGCAGGGCCAGCCCAGTGTTGTGAAGTTGAGGGAAGTCTGTCTTTCCTCCCCATGCGTTGGGCCTGGCTAGAGATGGAACAGCGGGTGCTTAATGGTGCTTCTGGAGCCATTAATAAATCTTGTAGCTAATTCACGTAGGGCACTGACAGGGTCCTTGGCTGGGTCTGCTGGGGCAATGGCTCTATAAAAGGGCTCTGAACCTAAATTTAGACTAAAAAACATTTCCCCTACGACGGAATAAGCATCCTCAGGAACACTTTGCGTGCCCTGCAATTTAAATTTGACCTATTTTGAGAAAAGGCACTATGTAATCCCAAATACTTTTATTTTATTTAACATCTATTTACTTCTTCTAGACCCACTACTGAGCTGGGTGCTTTATCATTATTATATTGTTATTATAAAATATAGACTTTAATCAACAATAAAGCCAATTTAATTTTTAAAAATAGAGATGCCCTAATTTCTGTAGTTTATCTGAACAGAAAGCCTATGAAGAGTAAGAAGAATTATAATTTTAAAAGTAGGCTTGGAAAACTCATTAATTATGCTTAATTTCGTAACTTACTGAGTTACACTTATCCCTTCATGCTTAAAAAAAAAAATCTACCTTTCTATCAGAAAAAGAAGTCTGAGAAGCAACAGTTATCTATTTATCAACTCTGTGAACTGGAAACAGATAAAGGACAATAAGGAAGGAAGAGGAAATTATATGATAAACACCATTAACCCAAGGGCACAGTTGGTCTGTCTAGACCTCAGGTCAAACCAACTATAATAAAGCTACAAAATGCATGAAAAACTAAGCTTATAAAAAATGCTATATTTGATTTTTCTAGTGTTAATGGCTACCACTTAAAATGAAACAATTTAGTATCAAAGTTTATGGGAAAACATGATAAATTTAAACTCTCAAGTAGAAACCTGATCTACAACACACTACATGTTAATAACTCTATCCTGTAATCCACACTTCACAGTGTATTGAGGAGAAAATAGTTTTAATTAGATGACTTTTAAAACTTAAGAGATAGTTATGAAACTGAACAAAACTAGAATTCAGATAAACATTAAGAATTATATTTTGAAAATGCTCTCCACTTGAAGTTGTAACTATGGAAAGGAATTATTTGTCCTTGGGGAATGTGAAAATTCTACTGACTTGCTTGTACACATCTAGGGGTCTTAGTTTAGGTACCACCTCCTCTAGAACCTGATGTTCTGTGCTTAATC